TCTCCGCAGCGCAGCGGGTTGTCTCGCGCGCGTTTTTTTTTTTTTGCGACATCGCGATCTGGTTTTGCGACAGTGTATGCCGACCGTTTGCGACATGTAGTGTGCGCCCGTTTTGCGAACAGTGTATGCCGATTGTTTTACCGCCTACACGAAATGAGGCCGTTGCGGCCGGACAAATCAAGGAAACTGTATTCTGTCGACGTGCAGCAAATTCCCGTATCGTTTTGCGGCAGCAAGGAATGTCAATGGTTTTTGCAGGTTCAAACGTTCGCGGTAGTTCTCGACAGCAAATAACAGCTCGTTTCGCGATAACTAATGCGGAGGTTTTGCGACAAGGTCTGGGTTTCTCTCTTGCGACAACGATATGTGTCATTTAGCGCAAACGTTCAAGCCTCCTGTAGTCTGCATCATTGCGCAGAAAGCTTAACCGAATATCTGCAGACGTTTCGCCGTCTAATGCCTGCTTTATCTGTGCAACATCACTGCGCGATTTTGACGACTTAAATTTCGCTGTTTGTAGCGACAGGTGCCTGGAAGGCTATTTTCGCGACAGCTGCTATGCGAACTAACAATTTGCAACTGGTTATTAAACCGCAGGCAGTCTGAACTAGTTCGATACCTCTCAGAATTTCCACCGGTGAACTTGCGTTTTTCAATATCGTTCTGCAGATGCGCTATTGTGACCATACATTACTGGCGTTATATTGATATATATATAATAACTCTATATCTTAATATATATATATAGCGACTAAAATGAATCTATGTTCTGTACCGTGTCCAACAGCGGGTGTAGCTTCACGAGTGTACCGTTGTCGTGATTTGTATGCTTGTGAGCCCTTTGCTACGTGATGGTAATTATATAATCCATAATAATGATTGATTGTCACAAGGTGATTACTGATGTGATTGATTGATGTGATTGACTTGGATGATGGATTGATAATGCATGGTTCAGCATTCGTGTTTTGCGAACTCAACTTACATAATTATATAATATATTAATATATGTGTGTGTGTGTGTGTGTGTGTGTGTGTGTGCTGTGTGTGTGTTGTGTGTGTGTGTGTGTGTGTGTGTGTGTGGTGTGGTTGTCGTGCGGCGGCGCGCGCCGTGTCGTGGGGTGTGTGTGTGTGTGTGTGTGTTGTGTTGTGCTGTGTGTGTGTGTGTGCTGGCTGTGCGCGCGCGCGCGCGCTAGCGCAGTGTTGTGTGTGTGGTGTGTGTGTGTGTGTGTGTGTGTGTGTGTGTGGATGCTTGGCATACATGGTGAAGATAACGTATTTCACGTCGTGTAGACGTCACAAACGCCCAAATGGTTTGCACGATTCGAACCGCATTCATCAAAACCGATCTCTCGGAATCGAGTCGGAACTTACGCACGTGAGTAAACCTTTCTCGCCGATTACTCACTAAGCTAAGCGGAAACTAAGCCAATACACATCCACACCCCACCCAAACAATGCGCGCACATATAGCGGAGTAGAGTAATGGCGACCGGTTACCTGATGACAATGACTTGATCTTCTCTGTCGCGACTCATCGTCGTGTAAGCAGCATTGGCGATCGCGAATAGATGGCTGAAAGAATGGAAAGCGCGTCTTAACGCCAAGCACAACGTAATATAAGTACGTGCTGAGGTGTGGTGGTGTGTGTGTGTGTGTGTTGTGTGTGTGTAGTGTGCGGCGCGCGTTGTGTTAGTGTTGTGTGTGTGTGTTGTGTGTGTGTGTGTGTGTGTCTGTGTGCGTGGTGTGTGTGTGTGTGGTGTGTGTGTGATGTGTGTATTGTTGTGTTGGTGTGTTATGTTCGTGCCATGTGTGCGTGCATGGTGTGCGAGCGCGCGCGCGTGTGTGTGTTGTGCGCGCCGCGTGGTGTGTGTGTGTGTGGGGGGGGGTGTGCATAAGCCTATTCAACAAGACCTAGCACCTGAATGCCTTAAGTGAAATGCGTATTAGATTATGCTTAATTAATAAGATTAATAATACAAAGGCTAGGACACTTCATATAGATTCTATATCAGCGTGCGCATTTTCTAAGTTCATATACATATACTGAGTATTCGTATTAAATGTGTACATGGCCTCACGACCACAATAATCCTCTATGATAGAAACTGCATACTCAACACTACAAATTCTTACACACATATATATATATATTCTCAGCAGCTACGTATGTCACACTCGCATATCTTTACTAGATATCTACAATTGCCTTACACTACATATTTTACAGCTACGTATCTACAATATCTCACACCACATATTTTATAAGTCGTATGCTCTTAACCGCGTGTAGGAATGTCGCCAATTATATATATATATAATATATATATACTATATATATATAAATATATATATATATATTAGTAATATATATAATAGTGAGAGAGATGAGAGCGAGAGAGAGCAGACAGCCAGAAGAAAGAGAAGGAAGACAGAGAGAGAGAGAGAGAGAGAGAGAGAGAAAAGGACAGGAGACAAGAGAGAGCGAGAGAGAGAGAGAGAGAGAGAGAGAGAGAGAAGAGAAGAGAGAGAGAGAGAGAGAGAAAGACACAAGAGGAAAGGACAGAAGAAAGACAAGAGAAAGACAGAGACGAAAAGAGAGAGAAACGAGAGAGATGAGAAGAGAGAGAGAGAGAGAGGAGAGAGAGAGAGAGAGAGAGAGAGGAAAGAGCGGGATAGAGAGAGAGAGAGAGAGAGAGAGAGAGAGAGAAGAGAGAGAGAGAGAGAGAGAGAAGGTGAGAAAGCCAGAGAGAGAGAGCGAGAAGCGAGAGAGAGAGAGAGAGAGAGAGAGAGACGCGAGAAAGCGAGGACGAGAGAGAGAGAGAGAGAGAGGCGAGATAATAGATAGATAGATGATAAGATAGATAGATAGATAGATAGAAGAGGAGACGGAGAGAAAGAGAGAGAGAAGAGAGAGAGAGAGAGAGAGAGAGAGAGAGAGAAAGATTGATAGAGAGAGAGAGACAGAGTCTCGCTGTACATACGGGGGTAGCTGGCCGAGAATCTTGTCCTCGTATTTCTTCACCATGTCGAGTCCGTAGATGTCAAACATCTTGTAGGGATTCACTGCCACCAAGATGCTTCCTGTGTACGTCTGCAATCAGGAGAATCGATTCAAGACTCTAGTTTCTATATGCAACACTCATGATTCATGACACCAGTTTCTAGATGCAAGACTTAAAATTCCAGAATCCAGTTTCTAGATGCAAGACTTAAAATTCCAGGCTCTAGTTTCTAGATGCAAGACTTAAAATTCCAGGCTCTAGTTTCTAGATGCAACACTCAAGACCTTAGATGAAAGGCGCAAGAATTAAGATTCACGACTCAAGTTTCTAGATTCAAGAATATATATTCCAGGTTCGAACGTCGGTATTCTACATTCAATACTCAAGAATATCATTTGTGCACGAAACACGTAATAATACGATGATACAGTATCTTTCGTTTGCATATTAGAAATTAAAACAATTACTAACCTAAACAACTGCAATGCTTTACATTTTAATTATGGGAGTGGCGCTGGGCACGTGTACGATATTGCAACATGTCCTGCTTGCATCTATGACAAATACGACATACGCATATACGCTCTCCTATGACACTATTTGCCATAGGAAGATTCTTCCTGTGACAAATATTGGCGAGTCAACTTCGTTCCGCTTTACAGCTGAAATTCACTGCTTGCGTTCATAATAGCGCTCCTAAACTCCTATGATGCGCACAATACATACAACAATATTTGTCATAGGAAGAATCTTCCTATGCCAAATAGTGTCATAGGAGAGCGTATATGCGTATGTCGTATTTGTCATAGATGCTAGCAGAACAGGCTGCTTATAACGTGGGTGGATAGCGTTATAATGCTTGCCATGTAGCGTATCCGTGTGACTACTGCACGAAAGTAACGGCTTCGCTGCATTCGCTTGCGACACGTACAGATTAATTCTACACTGCTTTCCGAAAACGTACACGGCGCGAGCAAGCTTTTAGCAAGCCTGCATGTTCGGCTTGCTCGAGGGAAGCGACAGAATTGTGCTTTTTAACCAGGCAGCCGTTCTGTGGCTATCGTTTTACCGTGTAAAATAATGCCACTCAAGGGGAAACGCTAAAAGTGCCCTTTCTAGTCAGGTGGTCGGTCATTCAAAAATATGAGCATCAACACGTTTGATTGTGAATGAAGCGGCGGGTTTGAGTTATAACACATATACTTATATGATACAGTTAATTACCTCCGCCGAGGGGTTGGCAGGAGGTTATGTTTTCACCGGCGTGTGTTTGTTGGTTTGTGCGTGTACAGCCGAACTGAAAAAGTTATGGACGGATTGTCATAAAATTTTCAGGATAGGTCAGAAATCGCCGAACTTAGAATTGATGAGATTTTGGTGGTGATCCGGATCCAATTAACTAATTAATTAATCAATTAATTAATTAAATTTTTAGGATAGGTCAGAAATGGGGTAACTTAGAATTGATTACATTTTGGTGGTGATCCGGATCCAATTAATTAATTAATTAATTAAATTTTTAGGATAGGTCAGAAATGGGGTAACTTAGAATTGATTACATTTTGGTGGTGATCCGAATCCAATTAATTAATTAATTAATTAATAGAAATTTTTGCAGTGAGAGAATTGAGCTGCCTTGGTGGAGGTCTGTGCTCTCCGAGTGCTCTAGTTCGATATCGTATCGTTTTGTTTTCGATTAAGAATCAGCAAACATACACAATAGAGGAAATTATTACAAAGCATGACTGCACATTGATACGCGCCATCCAGGGTCAGCTAAGGTCAGGTGCTGACGTCATGATCGGATTACGCACAGCTATTAGTGACGTAGGTAGCTAATTAACCAATCACATTTGCTATTAGCCTAGACAAGCAGACCATGAGCCATGCCTTGAGCGAATTTTTATTATTTATTCAAGAATTTATTAATAGAATATGAATTTTTAAACGGAATTTGGATTATTAATTCTATATTTTACTGTACTTATCTTACGTTAAAACAAACGCGTCTTTTTCGTTTGCCGTTATTATAAAGAAAACTAATAGATTTAAATTCATCTTTATTAGCGGAAAATGAAGCAATTTCTATCAAAATAAAAGAAATAAAAATATATTGAATGCACGTCTATTCATTTCGTTTCGTAATGCCAATTGTGATACTCATACCGCACGAGGTAATGTAATATCACACGATATAATACATTGTCCGGGCAATTTTTTTCATCAAATCAGCGACCAACTTTCTCTGGCATGCTATGTGCTATAAATAGCGCTATAAATAGAGAGGGGAAAGATAATTACTCATTACTGTTAATTACACAGCTATTAGTGAACGCATCTTCGCCTAAAGAAGATGAGCTCATTATGAAGTGCGTGTCTTGTCTGCGTGGCACAGCACACTAGGCGCAGTTTAAATATTATTTCCTATTCTTCGCCTATCCGGTTGTTAGCGCTGTTACATACACACACGCACGCACGCACGCACGCACACACGCATACACGCACGTATATCCACGTACACATAAACATGCATATGTACGCGCGCACACACAACACACTCACACACACAGACGCGCGCGCGCGCGCGCACACACACCAACGCGCCTGCCCGCCTACGCTCGCACGCTCGCACGCACGCACGCACGCACGTACGCACGCACACACGCACGCACGCATGGGGGTGCACAGCCCAGCTTTGCACGTCATTTAGTCGTCACATTTCGATGAGTCTCATCTCTGCGGCATTGTTACCGAGCGATTAACTCCCAATCTGGCTGTTCAACCGGGTTCAAACTCTATGCCTCTCTTTGCTCTCCACTCGCGCGCACGCACCCTCACGTCACTCCAACACGCTAATCCTGTCCGTCGGTCACTGACGGAGCGCGCGTCCCGGTCTCCGGGCGCATATCCGCACACGCCGTTTAGCCCGGCATTCTCTGCCCGACCTTACACGCGACAGGTGAGGGACCGAGTTGCTGTACTAGGCGTGTTCGTCTGAGGACGCGTTAGTGTGTGAGCGTGCGTGCGAGTGTGAGCGTGAGTGTGTGCGTGTGTGTGCGTGCGTGCGTGAGTGCGTGCGTGCGTGCGCGTGTGTGTGTGTGTGTGTACATGAGCGTGTGCGTGTCTGGTGTGTACGTGTGCGTGCGTGACTGTATGCCTACGTGTGTGTACGTGTGCGTGCGTGTATGCGTGCGTGAGTGTGTGTGTGTGTGTGCGTGCGCGCACGTGCGTGTTCATGAGCACGCGTGTCCGCGCGTGTGTGTTGGTGTGTATGAGCGTGTGGGTGCCTGTGGGTACATGTAAGTGTGTGTACGTGTGCGTGCGCGTGCGTGTATGCGTTCGTGAGTCTGTGTACGGAAACACATCGGGGGCGGGTTGGTGGAGGGAGGGAGAGACAGTGGTATCATTTCACCCGCGTATAGGAGGCGCTGGCACTCCGCTCACGCGCGCAGAGCAGAACCACTGGCAGCAAGGACAAGCCCGCACGTACAGCACACACGCAGCCATTGACTATAATAACAACCAATATTATAATAAAACCTATAATAACAATCAATATAATTGAAAATAATAAGTTGTTATTATAGTCAATGACCGCGTGTGTGCTGTAGGTGCGGGCTTGTTCTTGCTGCCAGTAAGCAGAACCACAAATAAGACTGTTAGTGCCCTGACACCTGTGATTACAGCCGAGCTATATAACTACTCTCACGAACACACCTGTTTACTAAGCAATTACGGTGAGATGAGGTACTGTACGGTGATATAAACCAATATTTTAAGTGATATATTTGTCTTACCATGGGACATATATTATTGTAAATATAATAAATTTCAGTTTTATACTGCCTGATGATATCGTGTTTGCAAAATTTACGTTGTAAATACTATTTTTGCAATAAACCCATTATCTATATATCTATATATCTAGATCTATCTATCTATCTATCTATCTATCTATCTATCTAT